TTTGAGTTAAGAGTTGTTAGTCGATTAGTTGAGTTTGAGAGGCTAAGTTGTTAAGAAAGTGGTTTTCCATGTTTTTTGGATTTTTGAGTGTTGGAATGGAATTTTGTCGATTCCATCAGTCTCAAAATGTGAAAGCTGATTAGTGAGAGTTGGTGGTTTCAGATTCCAAGTCTTTTTGAGGATTGAGGTCCTAAATTGTGAAATTATGAAATTTTAGCCTTTGAGTCGACTTTTGTCAATATTTGGGGTTCGGATGCTTGGATCAAAATTTCAAGAGTTCAAATGGATTCGAGGGATAATTTTAGGCTTAGGTGAGGTCTTGATTGATTTTCGAGAGGTCTCGAGCTTGTTTTAGCCTTTTTAGGCGTGAGTTAGTTTGTTGTGATTTTCATGGTTGTATGTTCAAGGAGACCTCATATTCATGTTTTTATGGTTCCATTAAGTCTGGAACGTTGAGTATAATTTATTTCCATATGTTGTTTGTGTGTACGGGATTCTGAACGATTCCTGAAAGTCATTTCAATGTTTTAAATTTTGGCAGTGTTTTCTGGTGCAAAAGGCCTCACTTTTGCGAAGGTCCTATCGCTTAAACGACCTTCGCTTTTGTGATGCTCGAGATTTTTGCCTGTTCGCTTTTGTGACATCAGAGACGGTTTTTTGTCTGCCATTTCAGGGTTTAAGCCTCATTTCATCATTTGTGAGTTTTGGGAGCTTTGGGGTGGCGATTTGGATTAGATTTTGGAGGAAAATCTTTTGGGTAAAGATTCTTAACTCTAAATCTTCAATTAACCATTATGGTTTATAAATTTATGTGTTCAAATCAAGCTTTTGAAATGAGAAATTTGGGGTTATCTTTGAGAACCCAAGAAACTAGTAAAATTGTGATTTTTGAAGTAATTTTAAGTCCTTTTTCAAAATGGTTTTCTCCAATGATTTCCTAAATTCTTGAGTAATGTTTACAAGTATTAAATTTCGGATTCAAACTTTATTTTCCGAATTGAGTTTTGTGTTGATTGACCCACATGTGAGAGAATTGATGTGGTTGTTGTTGTTTCTAGAAATTTATTGTGCATGGATTGTGTGGCTTTGGGAGTGATTCGGAAGGGTAAGACTCAACTTTTGGAGTGATTGTTGATTGATTTAAGGCAAGTGATTTCCTAAACTTTGTATTCTAGTAGAATTCGTGTGCTTCCTTCGTTACTTGTACGTTGGCAGTAATGGCCAATGGGGATGAGGTGAAGTGTTTAAATTGTCCACTTGATACATCTAAATGAATAAAAGGGGGTTGAAATAAAAAAGGCTTTGTGATGAACATGATGATATGAATTGCCTTATTGTGACTCTTGTTGATTGATTGATGAAATACTTGAAAGCATGAATGTGGACTTGAATTGTGTGAATTGTTGTCTCTTCCATGTAGTGTGATATTGCTTGTATGCATTGATTGTGAACACCGTGATGAGGCATGTGATGATTTATGATGTTGAGGTCTTTGCCGGCGAGTGTTATGATGTCGAGGTCTTTATTGACGAATGTTGTGATGTCGATGTCATGTTTGGTAAGTGTTTATAAAAGACGATGGGAAATGGTTTTGGCTAGTAATTTGATATGAAGCCAATGGAAAATGGTTCTGGCTAGTGATATAAATAAAGCCGATGGAAAATGGTTTCAACTAGTGATTTGATATAAAGCCGATGGGAAATGGTTTCTGCTAGTGATATTGTTCTGATGGAAATGGTTCCAGTAAGGATTGATCATTGTCACTTGATGCATTTGATGCTTATGCATGAATTAATTACTTGTTAATTGTGATTGATGTACTTATTACGTGTAACTGAACTATTTGACATTGAGATTGACTTATTTGATTTGTTGATTGTTGAGTTGTGAAGATTGAACTGTGAATATTGGGCCTTATGAGCCGTGTATTGTAGAATTGCTAGGTTGGGCTGATTTCTGTGCAGGTTGTAGTTTGAGGAGGTTTGATTGGAGTGTAGGGGATATTAGATTTCTATCTAGTTGTTTTTTAGTAGGTTGTTTGTTGGGTATCGTGTTGTTCGTACTCACCCCTTTCTTCTACACTTGTGTAGGTTCCCGAGTCTGGATCCGCATGATCTTCTCTTTCTTCTTCTCCTGACAGTCGAGGCTCATTGAAGGATTTGAGAGGTAGTTGCTTGTCATTCTAGCGGAGGCCCTCTTTTCCTTTTCCTTAAGCTTTGCTTTATTTTATAAACAAAGACCGAGACTTGTATTTATCTTTCGAATTCTGTATTTTTATTAGTTGCTTGTACACGTGACAACCAGGTTTTGGGGGTTTTAGTAGAAGAATAAGTTTTTCACTTTATTTTGTTCTTGTTTTTATTGTTTTCCGCATTTCGCTCATTTTCGTGGGTTGAGGTTGACTTGTCTTGGTGGAAAAAGACAAATGTCATCACGTCTATTTTTTTGGGCCGTGACATGGGGCGAGATCCCAAACAGTATACGTCAGGCGATGTTCAATAAATTTAAGGTATATATATATGTTTAGTTATATATTTTTTTAGTTAAGTTTAATATTTTTGGTATACTTTACTTTATTAATTATCTAACGCTATTCATTTTTTCAAACTATGTGTGCTTGGAAGCCAAAATACTATGATCAATGCGATCACATTTGAGAGAAAGGCATTCGGGAGACTTTCTAGTTTCGCTAAACAAATCCCAGGATAATGATAAACCTGGGACTTGGATGTTGCCTCATGTTTTGAGGAATCACACCAGTATTAAAATACGGTTGAATTCAAGGCATTTTCTGAACAAGCCAAAAAATTTAGAAGTAATCTTAAAGGTGGCTCGTTGCACATCAGAGGTATAAAAAGCGTTGGAACAACTACAAGAGAGATGATAAGTTCTAATTTAAACTTTTAAGTAAATAATTAGTTGATTAAATATTATTTGATTAATATCGTCTAAAATTTTGCTTTTATTTATAGGAAAAAGAATTGGGGCGCACTCCCCTTGAACCGGAGGTTTTTGAGAAGACTCATGTGAAGAAGAAGTTGAATGAGTCGGATTTTGATGTGTGGGTGAATGAAAGGACTGAACAAACTTTTGTTTTGATGCTAATTTTTATTTTTAATATGTAGGGAGAGTATCAGCGGTGCGTGCATGAAAAAATGGAAAATCCAGTCCAAATCACGCCTGAAATATCCACTCAAATTTGGACTGAATTATTGGTAGGGGGACACACAAGAGAAGAATCTATGATTTGAGCTCTCGGGAAATTATTGGATTGTCACGTCAAGCAAAGACACTTGACTAGCTGCTATGTTGGATTAAGTAGCAAAACTTACACAAGCATTGACAGAGTCTAAGCAAAAAAAAGAATTGTTGATAAAAAAAATAACATCGTTCAACAAATCGATCAAAAAACAAGTGTTCAACCTCACTCGTAGGCCTACTTCTTCATCCCCTACTAAGGACACTGATGACAGTGATGAGGATGAATGCATAAAGTCCACTCCTTCGCTTTCATTCCTTTAATTTATGAACATTTTAGACTTTTGAACTAATTTTAAAAGGCTATAAGTCTTTAAAATGTGATGTAAGTGTTTTTTAGAGTTCAATTAAGTTTGCTATTATATATTTTGTGTATTATGTTTTTTGTTTGATATATATGAATGAGCTGAATTCAATTGAATTGAATTTGCATGTGGACAGCAAAAACTGACAATTTCTGTTGTCAAAAATATTGTAGAAAAAGCAATGGACATGATGATTTTGTCCATCGCTTTTATGCATATTTTTTTTCAAAAAAATAATAATAGAAAAAGCGACAGACATGGTCCTCTAGTTCGCCACTTTTCTGCCTTTTTAAAATAAATTCTAGAAAAGCGACGAACTGCGACATTTTTCCGTCGCTTTTCTGCATATTTAAAAAAATAAAGAATCGAAAAAAGAGGACTGCGTCCCCTTGTCTATCGATTTTTTGTATTTAAAAAAAATAAAAATGAGAAAAGCGACACACTCCATTGTTCCATAGCGACAACATCTGTCGCTTTCTTCACAAAAAAAATCAACCAAAAATGACGCAGTTCGTTGCTTTTTGGAAAGCGTCGAGGACAAAAGCGACGGATTGAATTACATCGCTTTTTCCAATGCTTTTCTACATTTAAAAAAAATCAAAAATAGTGACGGACTGTGTTGCATTGTCCATCGCTTTTTTGCATTTTTTTTTAAAAAAAAGGGTGACGGACTGTGTCACTTATCTGCATTTTAGAGTCTGTCGCTTTCTTAAAAAAAGACCAAAAACGACGCAATCCTTCGCTTTTCGAAAAGCATCGAGGACGAAAGCGACATACTAGAGTGCGTTGCTTTTCCGTCGATTTTGACCAAAAAAGTAATGCATTCCATCGCTTTTGTCCATCTTTCTTTGACAAATTTTATATGGTGTGTCAAAAAAGAAAAAGAACATTCTTTTATAAACGGACTAAAAAGGAAAGTAAGACAAACAAATTGAAAATGAAGGAATATTTATTATCTTATTTGTTTGTTTTTACTTTTCCTACCGCAGCACGAACTAATTTTTTAACAAGTTTGATATGATAAATTGAAAAAATAACGAAATAAGCTAATTATAAACAATGACTTATATAAATACTACATTGATAATGTAAAAATTAGTTAATGACTTATATACATAGATTGATAATGTAAATATTATTTAAAGTAATGTATGTGTGGTTATATAAATTAAAGTGGTTTGTTATTGGAAGGCTATAAGAAAACGATATATAAGCAAGAATTTGTGAGAGAGCAATATTTGAGGAATGACACACCATGTTTACCGCTTCTTATTTCAAGTAATGGATCAAAATCATCTTCATTTATGAGTATATAAGTAAGGTGGTTGTATGAATGAAAATAAGCAGAAAGAGGAACAAATAATGTTTGCTTGTTTAGGAATAATTAATTATCCTGAATTCTCACAAAACTTTTCTAAGGGTAGTAGTGGTGTAAAGGATTGACCTTACACCAACTACCATCAACACCCCTAACAAATTTTAACAATAACCCCAACTTACCTACCTACATTATAATTATAATGGAGTACTCTTATAGAACAAAAATCAATGTACTATTCATTGTACTCATTCTCTTTGTATTTGCTGCACTAGGGACAGCAACAAACGCTCCGAGGAGGAAACTAACAAAGAAATACAAAGGCCCATGTATGGCCGTGAATTCAATTGACAAGTGCTGGAGATGTGACCCTTTCTGGGCGGAAGATCGCCAGAAAATGGCTGATTGTGCGTTGGGCTTTGGTATCAATGCGATGGGAGGAAAGTATGGTCCATACTACATTGTCACAGATAATTCTGATGATGATGTTATTGATCCTAAGCCTGGAACTCTGCGATTTGGGGTGATCCAAAAGGGACCGTTGTGGATCACATTTGCCAAAAGTATGAGAATTGAATTGAGCAGGGAACTTATTGTTAGTAGCAATAAAACAATCGATGGACGTGGAAAATACGTTCACATAGCAAATGGAGCTGGAATTAAGATACAAAGTGCATCAAATGTTATTATCTCTAACCTTCGAATTCACCATATTGTACCTACCGCAGGTGGCCTGCTTAGGGAGTCTGACGACCACCTTGGCCTAAGGGGCGGAGATGAAGGTAATATAACTGATCGATGACATTGACTACTATATATATTGAAAAAAGAGAAGAGAATTTAATTATATGTTAACATGCATACATACAGGTGATGCCATTAGTATCTTCAATTCTCATGATATATGGATTGACCACATCTCTATGTCTCGTGCCGCTGATGGTCTTATCGATGCTGTTGCTGGTTCCACTAATATTACGATATCCAACTGTCACTTCACTGATCATGAAAAAGTAATGTTGTTTGGTGCTAACGATCATTCGGTAGAGGACAGGGGAATGAAAATAACATTGGTGTATAACCACTTTGGAAAGAGGTTGGATCAAAGGATGCCTAGATGCAGGTTTGGATTTTTCCACCTGGTGAACAATGATTACACTCATTGGGAAAGGTATGTACTTAAATATTGCTATTGAATGATGATTGTTGTAACTGCGGTTTAAAATGTGTGTTTACGTACGTACGTACATTATATTGACGCAGATACGCTATTGGAGGAAGCAGTGGAGCAACGATCATCAGCCAAGGGAATAGGTTTATTGCGGAGGATAAATTGTTGGTGAAAGAGGTGACATATAGAGAGAAAAGTACATCAAGTGTGGAAGAATGGATGAAATGGACATGGATATCAGATGGTGATGATTTGGAAAATGGTGCTACATTTACACCATCTGGTGACCAGAATTTACTCTCTAAAATTGACCATCTCAATTTGATTCAACCAGAACCCTCTTCTAAAGTTGGATTACTAACTAAGTTTTCTGGTGCTTTGTCTTGCAACATTCGACGCCCATGTTAACTTCTTTCTTTTCCTAATTGGGGGGACTATAATGTAACAATATTATTCCTCATATATATATATATATAGCAATCATTCTTTTCTTCTCTTGCACCAATATTTACATGAGAATTAAATAGCTAGTAATGTAACGTATAGAATTAATTTGGTAAACTTAGCTTGTTAACGGAGACTTTTAATCGTCATAGAAAAATACTGCAACTTCAATAACACGTCCTACTTACCCCAAACAAAACTCTCATACCTGATAATGTATAATCAATTCATGTTGACAAGTTTGGACTATATTAGGTTTGGCACCAACATTGATCGTTAACGTTTGTCTTTGAAACCTCATTTTAGGCAGGCCAACATGACTGTCACAAGCTAAGTATTAATTATTGTTTACCCAATTGTACAATTGAATTTGTTTGTATATGTGGCTGTGGGTTGAAATAACTAGATTATGAGATTATTATATATATGGGGCTCTAAATCTTGACACTTCCAATTTATCTAAGGTGTAAAGCATGGTGATAATGAAGTTTTCACTAATCAACCTCAAAACCTACACTAACCTGATAATATGCAATTGCAATCAAGAGTAGAGGGCATTTGGTCTTTCTCCCTTGTAACAAGTAATCTTTGTTCTAAATACTCAACCTCCCTCTATTTTAATATTAACGAACAGTTCCACATTTAGTCATTATTATTATTATTAGTGTAACACGGCCTGTGCATTCAGAGTGATTGACTTAAGTGGATCGATGGATGGTCCAAGAGTTGAATTATAAAGCTTTAAGTCATCCTTTAATGCTATATCAAAAAATGAATTCGTGTGCTCAGTTAAGGATGAACTATCCACCCACAGGCTAGGGGCTTACGGAGCAAGGCCCGGGACGTACGAGACCTCTGCTCGATCATGTTGGAGCTCGCGATGAGCAAGTGTTGGTTGTTTGCATACATATTACACTTGAGCACTTTTTTGTTCATTTCTCACCTTCAAATTAATTAGGGTAAAACACATAATTCTCTCTAGAATTCTTCAAGGATCAACTGTAAACTCTTCGCCGATCTAAACTCCGTGGATTCTTTGATATTCTCTCGATCCCCACATCGATCATGTGGACTCCATATTATTACGATTGTAGGATTTGATCGAATATGGAATGTTGAGACAAAGTTATGGGCTTGAATACCACAAGGACGTAAGGACCCTTAATTACCTTCGATTCTTCACTATCTAAGTATAGTAGCAAGCTTGTCGTTTGTCGACAAATTTTGGATTTTCTCCTTTAATATGGTTAGAGCATCTATCCACTTGTTGTAGTTGAACCAGGTGCGTGAGTGAAGTTCCATATAGCCTCAATGAGCTAGCTTAACATATATAATTTTTATTCCTTTATCTTTTTCGACATGAATCCCTTTCCCATCGAATTCATATGATTTTAAATGAACTTAATTAAAAGAATGTCCCAGTTAAATACTTCGTTCATGATTGTTGAAGAGTTTAGTATGGCCCTCAACCGAGTAAGATGTTAAGTCCTCATTCATAAATGCTGAGTTTCCAAATAAAGTGGATAAAGAAGTACTCCCTCTATTTCAAAAAACAATGGTCTAGTTTCATTTTTAGTCCGTTTGAAAAATAATGACTCATTTCTTTTTTGGCAACAATTTAACTTCAATTTTTCACGTGGCATATTTTAGGCTACAAGATTAAAAGACACTTTGATATATTTGACATAATTTTAATTTAGAATCACATGATTAAAAAGTCTTCTTTCTTTTCTTAAACTCCGTTTCAAGTCAAACTAGATCATTCTTTTTTTAACGGAGGAAGTAATATCAATTAATTAAGTATGAGAAGCCGGGCGAGTCTTCAATTTTGTTAAGTAAAAAGAGTTAAGTTAATTAAGAAAATATACGGAGGATTGATGAGTCCCCGTTTCTAATCATCATTGAGTTTATTCGTAGATGCTAAGCCAATGATGCAATTTTAATGGAAGCGAAGGATTACCAAGTCAATTGAGTTAAGCTATATATATATATACTAATTTTCGAACACCAGGCTAAATAATAGTTTATTAAAATAATATTATTACAAATGTGTGATGATCAGTTATATGAACTTTGAAAGGGATATGTTGTCTTTTGTCTGAATTAAACTTCAGAGTCCTTTTATATTCGAATTTAATAGAAATAATTAGTTAAAATGTGTATATATAATATCAAATGTAACATGACAAGCTATTAAGATCAACGTGTTTCATGCAATGCAACATCACATTAGACAAAGAACTTCAAAGTTTGAATTAAACCTCTAAAATACAAGTTCATCTACAATATATCATTTCATATATAACAAAAATTATCTATAGTAATTCATGCAATTACACATTCAAGTGTAACCCAAATTAAAGCTTAATAGCATAAAGACACAATAACTTTACTAATCAACATCACCTGGGGGTAAACTACCACAAAATGCATTCTTGACAAAATATCGAAACTATTGCTTCATTGTATTGTTGTCTCAAATCTGTAGTTGGCATGATAGACTTTAATGTTTATATTAGTATGTGTACACCAGACAAGTTAAAGAATCTATTTTTCGATTATATGAAATAATTTGAATAACAATATACTTACCCGAACTATTGTGTGAATCAATTGGAACTGCATCTTATGCTTTATCCAGAATTGTTATGCGTATAAAACTTAATAAATTACATGAAAAGCTTTTTAACCGATAAAAATTAAAAGAAGCAGTAAATGTAAAATAATGGGATAAGCTCATATAATTGTCCACTAATGGCTCGATAGATTCATGAACTTCACGTTAATATTTTCCCAATTTATTGATTTATTTATTAAAAGGTAAATGTATTGTTTGGTAGATATTATAAAAAGGTAGTGTTTAGATATGGGTAAAAATGTTTCATTAAGAAGGTGACTTTAATCTATGTATTCATGAATAGGGAAAACGAACCAACATTACTTTTTTAATAATTATTGAAAACTGAAAAAAATATATACAATTGTTCTAACGTAAGAGAAGATAGAAGTAACATCAAGAATTTGAATAGGCTTTATTAAGTCATTACAAATTAATTATTTTTTAAAATGTAATTAAACATTATTGTTAGAAGTTAATTTTTTTTTTTTTTGGTAAATAAAGAATTTTACTAACCAAAATGAGCAATACAAAACACTTGAAAAAAAAAAAACAACTCAGCCTGGACATCCCAAGACTGTGTACTTCCAACAACAAACATTCTATTCCTAGCCACTACGCCCCTATCCTTCCCATTTCAGAAGTTAATTACGCAGGGTACCAATCTAACAACTGTAGTTTCATGAAATAGGAAAACAATAAAAAATAAATAGAGTAATGTAATATAGAGAGTAAGGTTCTACATTAGATTAGTATAGAAAGGATTTGCACGATATCTAATATATGATAGCAGCCAAGAAATTGAGTGATTCCTTCTTTCTTCCAACTTTGAAAGTACCGATAGATACTATCATATAAAAAGAAGAGGTGGTCTAACTAACTCAATG